CTGGAGTTGGAAAACTGGCTTCAAAGGCGGAACATCCGCGGAAGTGGCCAACGGCATAATGATGAGGAAGAAAGATTGGGACAAGCCACCTCATTAAAGATCCGGATTGGATAAGTCCTAGTAGAATAAATGGCTATTCTTGCAGGGAAATTCAATTCCGTAGTAAGCACCTCAATCCGATCTCCGGGAAGAGCAGTTACAAGTATAACAAAAAAATTTAAATGTAAAGAAGACATAAGCACATGGAACGTGAAAACCATGGCACGGGAACGTAAAGTCGCTGTTGTATATTGTGTAGAGTATTGGTGCCAACACGAAACCTTGTGGCACTCCTGCTGTAGGAGTGAAGGGAGCAGAGAAATGACTTCTGACCTTTAACGTAATTTTGCGCTGAGTGACATATTAATGCATGCAATTTCTTCACTATTGCAGCATGCCAGAGTTGGTCGAAGGTTTTTTGAACATCGAGAAAAATGCCTAATGAGAATTTGTTGTCGTTAGATTTTGTGAGATGTGTGTGACGATTTCTGTCAACGCCCTTTTGGTGGAGTGATCTTCTCTAAAGCCAAATTGAAAAGTAGGGATGATATTGTGTTCTGTGGTAAAGTCTACGACCCTTTTCTTAAGGATCCCCTTGAAGAGAAGAGAGAAGAGAGAGGGAGAGAGAGAGAGAGAAGAAAGGAGAGAGATCTGTCTGCAAAAGTTTGGATCGATCCTTTTTTATAGAACATATTTGGGCTGAATACTTTTCATGGTGATGGAAAGTAGCGGAGTCTGAGAGGAGCGTTGACAAGGTTCGTCAGATGAATTTTATTTGCGAATTGGCAGAAGAATTCAAGTGTTTGTTGATCCACAGTTTGGACATGTTGAACATGTTTGGATGTTCATGGGGTTGCTGTGGATTGAAAGGGCTTGTGAGTCATCGTTCTATGTCTTTTGAAGGCATCGGCCTTCTGCTCATCAGAATTTATGATTTGGTTGTTCACTACAAGGTGAGAAGTGTTGCTGGTTTTCTGTTTCGTTAGGATTTTAAATTTTCCCAAGAAATCACCACCGTTACAATGATCAAGTATAGAGGTAGCAGCCCGACATTGACTGGTTTACATATTATTCACCTCCAGTTTGATTATTGAAACTGACGTAGGAGTCGTCTTTTGTTTGGTTTTATTGATTATGTGAGGTGAAAGTGGTGGTCTGGTAGGGTTGATGACCCTATTGGGGACTGACATATCAATCGTTTGATTTATCAGGTCTTGAATGACCGTGATACAATTATCGATATCATCAGGATAGTTTTGATTAGTTAACTGTGGAATGTTGATAGACAAGTATTGTTTGAAAAGGTTCCAGTCGGCATGTTTGTAGTCTCTTATTGTATACACAGGATTTTAAGGCTCTAAAGAGTTTAATATCTGTTCTCTTACTAAAATAGGGATACGATCCGAAGTAATTGAATCGCCCATTAAGCACTCGTCGTCTAGTAGGTCCACCACATCATATGTGCACGACATGGCATTGTCATGGTTAACGTTGGTTAACGGTTGGTTATTCTGTGTATATATTGGACTAGAAGGTAGCCTGCGCGGTTCATGACTGTAATGCCAAATTGAATGTGCTTGGTGTTGAAGTCTCCGAGGATGATGGCCTTCTTTAGGCCGGAGACATACTCAAGCAACGTTTGTAAGAGGTGTTAGTTGGGGTGTTTTTAATAAGAGAGTAGTGTTGTTATCGAGGAGAACGTCCACTGCCAGGAAGTTTTAATCAGTAAGGATTATATGTGGAGTAATTCTGTGAGGGGTGAAGGGAATTCCATATTTAATTAGGATACCATTACCATGTGATATCCGGCTGCGGGGATGGTGAAGGGTGCTGTATCCAGGGTAGGTAAGATCTGTTCTGGACAGGGTGCACAAGAGAGCTAGGATTTGTATATTGTATTTTTGAGTATGTGTTTGATGAAAGGTTGTTTTCTCGCAACACACTGGCAGTACTACCCATTTATTCAGGTAGGAATATGAGGGATACCCTATTGCTATGCGCCAATAGAGTACCAATCTTGTGGTTTCTTGAGGGGTTGTGGGAGTTTCCTTTCTGTGTCACAGTTACGGCACCTTAGTTCTTGTGGAGCAGGGCCAGGCCGAGGATATGTGGTATAGGCTGCAGGTTGGGTATTTGTATTATTTTTTAGAACATTTCGTACTGTTATGTCCGTTCTGACAACACTCACCACAGTATTTAGTGTAGGGAGGACGGGATTTGAACGGGATATCAACAAGTCCTCACAGACATTTCTGTCTGTAGACTAGCAACCCCAGTGGAGTCCTACGTTACCATGTGATCAATTCCTTTTATAACTTAAACATCATAGTTTTTAAATATCAAAGATGTAATTCAAAGTTAATAAATCTACATTTAAAGGGTACATTTTACCCAGATATATAGTGGCTTCAAACATATAAATCCAAAAATTACTGATGATGGAATAGTTATTCCCTAAACGTTCTGTGATGTAGCCCGATAGGGTTTTTATTAATATACAGTTTATAAAGGAATTTTTTTAAATAAATTTATTTTTAATTAATAAAATATCTGAGCTTGCTATATTTGCGGGAAGTGTATTATATTCGACAAGTTAATTTACTTTTAAAATCACTACAAAGTACAATTAGCACTATTTTGATTACGAAAAGTATTTTGGTTAATTGTCAGTTATTTGTCAATTTGTTATCTACTTATTTACATTTTTAATACTTTGTAGCAAATTATCGTACTATTCGTCGCGACTACACGTGTATAAAATAGGAATAACAATGTATTCAATTCAAATAGCATTACGGAAAACTTTTAATTATTATTGTGTTAATGCATTCTATGCAACAGCGTATTATTATTAGATACACGAAAAAAAATTAGAAGTGCGTTATAATGTATTAATGAAACATTAAATTACAGGTTTTTGTAATATGCTCCCGGTCTATCAAGTTGATCAGAGAAATACTGCAATTCTTCTTACCATTAGTTTCTAAGTTTGCAAGTGCTTTCCATGCTTATCTTACTCGTGTCTCTCCCCTATCGCATCCCTATATCTGTCTAGTTTTCTCCAAAACTTTTTTTTTTCATTTTCCAAGTAAAGATTTGCAGTCTGTCCTGTTTGGACAATAATCAAATTTGATTATTCAAACACAGAAATTAACATGAGCAAAGAATAGTGCCAGTGCTGGTACCTTCCTTATTAAATTTAACTAAAATTAATATTAAAAAGATTGTTTCCTATATTCTAAACCGATTTCTGAACTAAATTGATTTTATAAACATAAAAAAAGGTTTAGAAACTCTATCACCTCAACAAAAACATATCTAGGCGCAGATGTCTTCTCAGATCATAGTCTATGGGTTGCAAATATCAACATACGACTCAAAATCATTCATAAGAAAATAAGGCCCAAGATAGATATAAGACTACTAAAAGAAAATGACACCCAGAAAAAAGTAAAAACAGAAATTAATAAGAATTTTGCGAAAATAGTGGAAGACACTACTAGAGGCATAGAAGAACAGTGGAACGAAATAAAGACTTTTATTACCACAATTTCGCATGAATATCTAAAATCAAATAGACATAGCTAAATAGATATATATATATATATATATATATATATATATATATATATATATATATATATATATATATATCTATTTAGGGCATGAAATTAGAATAGGAAAAGACAATCAAACTTGTGAGATCCAGCGTCGCATAGGCTTGGGATGGGCAGCATTTGGCAAGATGCGAGATATTCTAAAAGGAACGCTACCGATTTGCTTGAAGAAAAAGGTTTACAACCAATGCATACTGCCAGTAATAACATATGGTTCCGAAACAATAACTTTAACCAAACATTCTGCAAATAAATTGAGAGTAACCCAAAGAAAAATGGAAAGAGCAATATTGGGAATAACTAGAAGAGATATGCTACCAAATAGGATAGTGAGAGAGAAGACTAAAGTGACAGATGCCATAGAAAAAATTGCACAAGCCAAATGGAGATGGGCTGGACATATAGCACGTTTAAATGATAATAGGTGGACCAAAAGACTCATAGAATGGAGACCTAGAGAAGACAAAAGACACCGAGGCAGACCACCAAAAAGATGGATGGACGACTTGAGAAAAACAGTCGGAAATTGGATACAGAAGGCGCAAGATAGAGAACAGTGGAAGAACATGGAGGAGACCTATATCCAACAGTGGATGCAAGAGGTTGAGGAATGATGATGATATAAAATCAAAAAGAGAAAAAAGCAAGAATGGATGACAGATAAAATATTGCAGATGATGGAAGAGTGAAGAGAGTTAAAAGGTAGAAATGACAACGAATACAAAAAGTTGCATAAGACGATACTAAAGGAGATAAAAGGAGCAAAAGAAGCAGGTACTCATACGAGTATAGCAAGTTCTAAACTATCTAAATTAAAATTTATTACATCGTGAAGTTTTTTTCGTCCCTTTTGGAGTATAACATTTGTAGGAATATCCATGTTATATGCGATTTGAATTTTAAAGCCCATCTTAAAATCTGTTGAAAATTTGAATATTCTGCCATCCTTGAAGTTAGCTCCCAACATTTGAGATTTAGTTGCTGCTTTTTGAAGAATACTGAAAATCTTTACTATGTCCCTCGTGACATTAACTTGGAATTTGTTATTTTTTTAGTGTGTGTAATGAAACGAATATAGTGTTCTTTAGAAATTACTTAACAGCCCTTGATCTTAAATTTAATTGAACCAAAATCTCGATTACATCCTATCATCGAATGCCCTGACATTAAAAAAATGTGCTTAATCAGATCAAAGCGATTTGCATGAATGTGGCGAAGGTTAGACAAAACAACATTTATTTTCTTATTTTGCCGGAACAGTTATCACTAAAAATTATAACTTTTCTCACATTCTTATTAACAAAGTTCTTTAAGTAGTGACTAAGAAAATTGGCTATTTCGCACCTAGGTTTCGATTCCTAAGTTGTAAGTCCACATTTTTCTTTTGTAGTATTGTATGTTGCAGGTAAGTTTAGGCGTGGGTAATGCCTGTTGTAAATCAATACATACAACTTCAGTATTTTCATACTGGTTGCTTTCGTAGCTTTTCATCATATTCTGAGCAGCTTTCTGCTTTGCTAAATGAACCTTCAGTTCTGTATCCAATTCAGTTATTCTGGAAGAATTCGGGTTGCTAGTCTTTAACCCATCAAGTTCAACTTTAATCTTAGAGCAGGTATTACAATCATCAACAGAAAGAGGCTGAACACCTAAACCAAATTCGTTGACAAAGATATTTCGATAATAGAACGCTGTTCTTCAGGATGTGTGTTTTTTAGCCATTCCATATAAGCTCCATATACTACAGTAATTGACAAACCCGGTGGCATATATTTTTGAAAAGGACTTTTGGCTCTGTTATAGTGACTGGAAATGGTAACAAGTGTCACTACAATCCAGCCATTAGATTTCCTGGACTTAGCTTCCCTTTGTTATCACCCACACAGTTCCTGTGGTGGCCTGCTTGTCTAAAACAATGCAAACTCTTTTTCGCTTATGCCATGGATGCTAATAAAAGCCTGACGACAAACACATTTTTTTCTCCATTTATTGAAACACTATATTCTATGATCCGAAGCTTCCTACTAGCTCTGTCATTAATTAAAGACTTTTACAGTCATTCCTGCTTACCACTTTTGAAAGATATTAGTTTTGATTATCGTAGTTGCCGATTTGCCAAAAGTTATTGAAAATTATATTGATATTGTTCATTCCCAACTTTTCAAAATATATTTTACGACACTTACATGCCAGTCTGATTTTGCGCGCCCAGATACAGTTTTCTTTGTATTTCTTGAAACGTACGCTTCACCACAGTATCGTTTGGTTTTATACATGTTTTTTTCTCGGCGTTTATTTTGAAAATAAATCAGAAAAAAAACAAAAAACAACTTTATCCAAAAACTTTAGAACAACGCATCTATCTGAGACTATCTCTCACCAACACCGGCGCGTTGATACGGTTTCAGAGGAGAAAGGGCGAACCTTGAACGAAAACGCAACGAAATCCTGTGGGATCGCCCTTGCTCTTCTACACGATTATGTAGTTCAGTTTCTGACTTGAATGGATTGGTATATTATTTCTTACAGAATTTTAGGAATATGAAGGGCGAAACATGCTTTTATAATATACACAAGCATTCTTTAAAGGTTTGTGAGCAAGATGAGACTGTTTTTGAAACGTCCACTTTAAGAGTTCGCCCTTACTCTTCCAAACTCATGATATATGTCCTATAAGTATATTTATAATTTTTATGGAGCAGTGTACCTTTAAAGTAAATAAATGACTTATAATGCCAATTACAAAAAATTTATTTTGTTATGCAAAATATTTATCATCTTGAATAATAAGTTTAACCTTAAAAACGTGTAACACACTTCTTGATCTACATAATTGTTGTTATTTGAGAAGTACGTTATGTATTAGCGATATTGACACTTCCTGCACGTGTAGATCTATTAATGAACTTGGTTTGGCATAAAACAGAATCTAAGCAAAATACCGGAATTCTTGTATACGTGCAACACTTTTAGTTGTTGGTAAATATTGCTGATACTTTAGTTCTATGACATTTACGTGAAAACGGGTTAACGGGATTTTGTTTGTGTTTCATGTTTTTCCTAATGAATCATAAAGGGACCAACATTTTTTTAACCTCGCTATGTTACGTAATATCTATGTTTTAAATTCCAACATTATAGGTACGTTTCACAAACTGTAAAGAGTGCTCTTCATCAACGATGCTTCTTATTCTGTTCGGATATTATAATTGCTTTCCTTTTCTTTTATGAGGAATGTCCACGATGGATTATTATACAAAACCAGAAAAACACAAAAAAATCAGAAAAAGATTAACGGACAACATTTTCTTTATCCTTAAAATCATATCTTAAAAATAGACATTTTCAAGTAAGGTATCAAGACAAAATTACAACTCTACACTCAATAAGGTCTGATCATCTAGACAGCTGATCTTCCCACTAGTAAAAATATAACTATTGCATCCTATGCAGATGATACCGCTGTTATGACATCTCATAAACAACCGGTCATTACTAATATTGCAGACTGACTTGGATATTATTTCCACTTGCATCAAATTATCTTATATCACATTGAATCAAATGCAATTAAAAATCTATCCATGTCACCTACACCACAGAATAAATAACAAGCAGAATGCCCAGAAATGCCCAAAAGTTGAAAGGATCGGTACGTGGAACATTCGAAGCATGTACCAAGCAGGCAAAGCAGCAAATAGTATTCAAAAAATGACTCGCCTGACCATATATATATTTTAGGATGCAGTGAAGTTCGATGGCTAAATTCTGGAATAAGAATTATAGATGAACACCATATCTATTAATAAAAAGGGAAATAGCTAAAGCAGTAATAGGATTTACGTCCATATCAGGCAGAGTTGTGCTATTGAAAATTAAGTCAAGTCACTCTAATATAAACACCATTGAGGTCTACGCACTGACATCAGAATCCACTGAAGAAGAAATAGAAAGAAAAAGACAGTTAAGATTTGATTTCACGTACAATGCGTCTGTGTATCTAATACATATTTCGCCCTAACAGGACTCATCAGAACAGCTATTCATATGCGTTCTGAACGTGAATAATAATAAAAATAAAAATAAAAATAAAAATAAAAATAAAAATAAAAATAAAAATAAAAATAAAAATAAAAATAAAAATAAAAATAAAAATAAAAATAAAAATAAAAATAAAAATAAAAATAAAAATAAAAATAAAAATAAAAATAAAAATAAAAATAAAAATAAAAATAAAAATAAAAATAAAAATAAAAATAAAAATAAAAATAAAAATAAAAATAAAAATAAAAATAAAAATAAAAATAAAAATAAAAATAAAAATAAAAATAAAAATAAAAATAAAAATAAAAATAAAAATAAAAATAAAAATAAAAATAAAAATAAAAATAAAAATAAAAATAAAAATAAAAACATTTATTGCCATATCTTCCTTTACATGTCAAATTTGAGAATTTTTGCCTTCTTTCTTCAGCGTCCCCCTCTTGCCCCGCTATCTTCTGATTCTTCTTCCTCTCGGGTCCTGGATCTTCCTGGGTGGTGTCCTCGTCTGCTTCTGTAGGTACTGTATCGGCAAACGTGCCTACTTCCCTGCATACCTGGCTAATGGATCATGTGGTCGATGAGTCGATGAGTTTCTCGGTGTATCCTCTGGATCCTGTTTTTCTCGAGGATATCCCTGGTTTTCCGTAGTCTTCTTGTGGCCTGGTTGAAGAACCACCTGGTCCTGTTCTCGGCCACCTCCCTCAGTGGCGTGTATCCTAACCTGTTCCTGATGGTGGCGTTGGTAACTCTATCCTCCCATGATGTTCCGTCGATGATTCGGTAGCATGAATTCTCAGTTGATTCTAACTTTCTCCAGTTGGATTCCGCAATGGAGCTCCAGACTGGTACAGCATACAAAATCACCGACCTAACATATGCTTGGTAGAGTTGAATCTTCTTAGCCTTGGACAATGGACTGGACCTGTAAATATAGGGAAGTATCAGTTTTTTAGCAGTATTAGCTTTTACCTTAGTTTTTTGTGTATGCACCCGGAAAGTGAGTCTTCTGTCGAGATGGACGCCTAGGTATTTGACGGTCTCTGCTTCCTGAATTCTGTTGTCTCCTACTGGTTCTGTGGTGGACGTTTTTCTTGAGTGAATATGATGAACTGTGTCTTCTCTGCATTGAGCTTGATTTTCCATTTTTCCGTGAAGTCCGTGATTTTCTCCAAGTGGTACTCCATGTCATCTATTATTCTTCTTTCATCTTTTCCGGATGCATACACTGCCGTATCATCTGCATACAGGGCTGTAGAAGTCCTAGGATCTGTTGGAAGATCTGCAACAAAAATGTTATATAATATGGGTGATAAAATGCTGCCCTGAGGCATCCCTTCTTGGATTTGTTGAATCGTTGACATCTTTTGGTCAGCTGACACCTGAAAAGTTCTATTAGTTAAATAAATATCACAAATATTGATTAAATAATGTGGAAGTCTAGCCTTGTCCATCTTGTAGATTAATGCCTTCTTCCAAACCGTACGCTTTTTCTATGTCCAGTATGGCTAATCCAGTCTTCTGTTTTCTGTTGAATTTTATCTTCGCATCGCTGATTATTTTTGCTAGTTGGAGTTCGCAGTTTCTTCCTTTTCTGAATCCGAATTGGTCTTCTTGTATGATTCCTCTTCTTTCTGTATGTTTCATCAGTCTCTTGTAGATGATTTTTTCCAGGATTTTTCCCATCGATTCCAGGAGAGATATGGGTCTGTAGCTTTCTGGTCTTCTTCCATCTTTTCTTGGCTTCAGTAGTGGAATGATTTTGGCGTGCTTCCAGTTGTTTGGAAAATGTCCTTTTTCTAGGCAGAATTTGAAGATGTAGTACAGCTGGACTATGACCTTCTTTGGTAGTTCCTTGAGGGTGATGTTGTGGATTCCTTCTTTTCCTGGTGCTCTACTTCCCTTTAGCTTCCTGATGATTTTTGCAACTTCACTTGGGCTGGTGTAGTCTTCTTCGTCTATATGGAATTCGTTTCTTCTTTTTATCCTGTTGTATTCTTCGTCGACTTGCCTCCTTGTTCTGAACGTGAAAATAAATCTTTACTGTCTTAAGAAGCAACTCTAACATGGCTTCGTATAGACGGAAATAGCGACATCTGATATTAAAATCAGTAAACTAATTTGGTGACGTAACGTGAATTTGGTTTCGAAAATTAGTTTACGGATTCTAAGAAATAGAAAATTTCTGTCAGACTCTAGAAGACTCTCTAAAACTGACCAAAAAACATGCACTTAACTATTACCAAAGGCGATTTCAATTCCAAAATACGACAAGGTACAGTCGAGAATGTCGTAGGGTCATATTTTCTTGGCATAAGAAACGAAAGAGGAGCTATACCTCCAAGTCCCGATGCTTTCTTATTTTTGATTGCTTTTATGGCCGTTCTCATTTCCCTATGTGTTATTTCTATTTCTTGTTGTGGGGATCTGCTTCGTCTTCGCCTGTGAAAGAATCAAAAATAAATAAAAAAACATTAGCGGACGTTCTTAAAAGAGTAACTAAATTTAAGCGACAATGGTAAGATAGTATGGCAGTCTTCAGATAGGTTTAGATTGTTGGTTTGACTGTGTCTCCTAAAGACATCAAAAGAAGTGTGGGCAAACCTCAGAAGAAATATCCAAAGTATAGCTGGAATAATTTGGATTAAGGCCCCCTAAACAAAAAGATGTGGAAAGTATTGCAAGAGGTCTTTATCCACAAATAGGTGAGTGAAGGGCTTAGAAGATA